CCACCACCAAATGACCATCGTTGGTCAGCATCACCAACCGGCCGTCCACGAGGCTCAGGTTCAGAGCTTGCGCCCCCCTGGACCGCCAAGCAAACTCACCGTTGGAAGGATCGATTGCCGAAAGAATTCGACCGGTGAAGCCGAACAGCCTCTGGTTGTGAGCCACCGGCAACACCAAGGAGTTGGCAAAAGCGCGGCTTCTCCAGACCTCCTCTGCCTTTTGCACCTCGCCGGCCCCTGAAACCTTGAGCAACAATGACTCGCTCTGCAAATTGAGCAAAAGATGGCTCGAGTCGACCAGGGTCGGATGGGCCGACTCCTGGCGTGCGGATCCGACGCTATGCCCGAAGCTCCAAAGCACCCGACCGGTGGTGATCTCCAAGCCCATGGCTTCATGGTCGGTGACCGCGACCAGCTGACGGCGCCCACCCAGCTCGGCGACGATGGCGGTTTGGTAGGTCACCGAGTCGTCACCCACCGACCATTTCAAGGCCCCGGTCTTTTGCTCAAAGGCGGACACCGCACGGCCCTCTCCCCCGGTCAGCACCACCACCAAACCGTCTACGGGAAGCGGAGACGAGGTGTAGCCATAGTAGGGAACCATGGAATTCGACTTGTCGAGCTGCGTGCGCCACAGCTCGACGCCGTCTTCGAGCCCAGCGGCGACCAGTTGTCCTTTTGGCCCGAGAGCATAGACGACGCCACCCTCTATCATCGGCGAAGACAACGGGCCGTCGTCGGAACCTTCGTGCCCGACGTATTTGTCCGCCAACCTCAACCGCCACAGCTCCTCGCCGTCGGCGACGGCAAAGGCAGCCAAGAAGTCGTCAGGACCCGAGGTAAAGAGGGTCACGATGCGATCTCCGGCCACCGCCACACTGGAATAGCCAGCTCCCAGCTCTCGGCTCCATTGCATGGTCAGGCCGAAACTCTCCGGCAAAGCCCCTGTTTCCACGGTGCCGCCTCTGAAACCTTGCCAAATCTGGGCATCCGCCCCAGAGCCCTGAGCACTGGGGATCGCAATCAAGATAGAAAGCACCACCAAGATACAAGCTCTCCCAAAGCGGTGAGCCGTCCTCTGACGCCCCGTCTCTTGCGGCTCCGTCTCTTGCGCCGTCTCACGCTGTGTCGTCTTCAAGACCTT